TGCAATACTAGGGTTGCTCAATCCCAAAATATAAAAGGCAACCCTCGTCGCCCACGACACAGCAGCCTCTAGGACGCTCTTCGCAGGAAGAGGGACGAAGAAGATTACTCACAGCAGTGGAGGAAAACAAAGGGAAGTAGACCATGTTTCCGTGAGGAAATCGTCCGTTAAAACTGTTAAGGACTTAAATGTACCGCGCCGCGGAGACCTGGCTACGCAGCCCACACCAGCAGCCGAGCCTCCCAAAAAATCAGAGATGGAAACGGAGCGCAGGGTTCGGTTGTGGAAGCTGAAAGATTCAAACAGTACATCTCGGATGGATAATACTGGAATCTAGACAACTGCCAGGTAGAGGCGACGGTTGGCCCCATCCCACTCTGGACAGAAAGTGAGGTCCGTCAAGCCGTTAGGAAGATGAAGGTTGAGAAGACAACTGGTCCGTAAGGGTACCAATTGGGGCATGAAGAAAGCACGGGATCATTTTCACACGGTTTCTGAACGCCGTGACTACTGTAGGAATGTTATCAAACGCGTAAAGAAGTAGTGCTGCGTGAAGAAGTGTCTTAATCTCCAAGCAAGGGGAGGGTGCGATGAGGTGTCGCAGCTACCGGAATAAGGTTGACTGCGTATACCATGAATTGCACGGCTATTGGTCGACTCAAGATTTGAAGAACTTGTTGTGATCTCACAGGAGCAAATTGGCTCCATGCCATGGAGGTAAGAAGATCTACAACGAATGCAATTTCTATCGCTGAGCAATCGCTAGACAAGTAATAGAGAAATATCGAGAACGTGGGCCATGGATTCGACCGTGGAGCGGCAAACCCTCAGCAGAGCGCTCCGCGAACGTAACATTCCTAAAGACCCACCTGTTCTCCCTCAGCAAAGAAATGTGCGGGAGGTCTAATATGGTCATACGCATCCCTCACATCTCAACAATCTCAATAGACATTATTGTTGGGGTACAGTAGGAATCAGCTCTGGGTCTGTCTCCTTTCCCCTGAAAAGCAGCTTCACCCCGCTACATTGAGAATGCTCGGATTCGCCTTCGGTTGGACGCGGCTGAACCGGATCAGAGACAAGGACCTCAGGGCGGTTACTCAAGCAGCCCTTGTCCTGCTGAATATGAGAGAGCAGTTCTGAGATGGTACCGACATGTATTGAGAAAGCTACAGAATCATCGGATAAGAGAGGCAATAAAGTTCAAGGGTTGTGTAGGGCAAAGTTCAAGGGCATGTATCTACAATCATGTTGATCAGCACAATAACCACTATAATACTACAATAGTCCTACTGATGACAGGAAGGGCCTGACGGATTCGGTGGTTCACGCTATACAGGGTGCCTAGGCTGGTCTTGAAGGCCATTTTCATCTCTAGTCAAGACTATCTGTCAAGCATTACGTCAACGCTCAATTAGCAAAGCGTCACCATCAATGCTCGGTCAGCGACACTACTTCCTCGGAATTCTTTTCGACCCTTATCTTCATAATCAACTGCTTTCACCAACCGTATACGATCCAACCACGCTTCGCATTACTTGCCTAAAGTGCTGTGGTTTTATCTAGCAACGAGAAAAATGTAACAGACTCTATGGATCTTGCCTTAAAGACTCCTTACTGGTACTCGTCAGTTGTTATCCTTTTCCTCACTTGTCATCGCTGCTCTCACTACATCGCCTTCCCCGCCTTCAATCCTCTAATATACATATATACCCTCTAGATCCAGCAAACAGTTTGAGAATATTTGACCAAGCTTCCACACTAGTTGAGCATTTCCAGCATTCATGCATAACCGAATGCGCACCCATAACAAGGACACACATGAACCTAACCCATTTCAGTAACTCATAGTTAATCCTCATTACTCAATGGTAGTTCTCCTCTACACAACCAGCTGCGGACAATTGCATGTAGTTATTATGTTCTAATATGTTATGTTTAGTGAGCGGGAAAAATTCCTTTGCGCATACGTTGGGGCAGAAAACCACAAACGAAGGGAAGGCAGCATTTGCTTCTAACATAAAAAAACAGCTTCTACCAGTAAATATTTAAAGGGCCATACCATACAGTCTGAACAAAAAATCTAAATCTGAACTTCTTCGAGAATCACCGAAAGATCCAGTCGTTCTCCCACGCGCAGACGTAGAATGTTGTCAATAGCAAGACCTAAGCATAGAGGCCGTGTTAGACTGCATCACCTGTACCACCTGAACTCCCGTTGACCGTCAATTTCCTCGAGCGGGCGCCAGTAATGTCTCCATTCGTCCCTGTCGTGAGCCAGAGTAGTCCACTGAATCGTACTCGCTCGAGGGANTCCTTGATGGAGCTTCATCGCCAAAGGGGGAGGGGGAGATTAAGGGGGAAGTAGGTTCGGCCTAAGTCGGGGTGAGGGGCGCCAAGGGCCGTAAATTTTTTAAGTCAGTGTAAACAACACAAGGAGCGCTCAAATGTGAAGACGTTCTGAGTAAGTATAACCTCGAAAGAGTGAACTTTACGATAGAGCTCTCAGTTGCCAGATTGCAATACTAGGGTTGCTCAATCCC